TCCAGGAGAAACCCAAGCAATGGCGCTTGCCAGCACTTCCGACCCTAGAGAGGGCTCTAGCAGTTTTCTGCCCACTTGGCAGAAGCTCTAATAATTGGATATCCTTCCCATGTAGTCTTGATTCCCTTTAAGCTGCTGGGTTTGTTTGTTTGTTTGTTTGTTTGTTTTGTTTTGTTTTTTGCTGTTTTGCAAGGTAGGCAAGCCTGCACTCCAGCCCATCGGCGGTATCCCTCCCTATTGCAGGTTGCCACGTTGGGGGTGGGGTTCCCATGGATACAATATCTGTCTCTCCTACCCATTTCTACATGGTCCATCTATGTGCCGTAGCTGTTTAATCAGCCTCAGAAGTTCTTCAGGAGGAATTGCTCTCTATGTAGGGGTAGATTCGGTGTGTCTGTGGCAGAGGGTGACCTCGAGGTCTTCCTGCGCAGCCATCTCGGTCCGCTCCTGGACCACTCCGTGTTTACTACGCAGCTTCTCCGTGGCCGTTTCAGGAAGTAGCATAGCACTGAATTTAAATGCACAAATTCCAGAGCTGGAACGCCTCCACTGGAATTCCAGCTCCTTATTCTACTGAATGTGCAACCTCCAGCAGTTTACTTCAGCTCCCTGTGCCGGAGTCTTCACTTAAAAACTAGGTCGTGTAAATATTAAACTACATGAAAAGTGTGCTTTGTTTAGAATGGTTCCTAACCCATAATCAGTGCTCAATTAATGATAGCTACATTTCATTTATATATATATATATGTGTGTGTGTGTGTGTGTGTGTGTGTATACATATACATATATTCACATTGAATAACCTCTACTTTCTCATCCCATAGTATTTTGCTGAGGTACATCTTTGGTTAGAAGTCAATCACAAGAGATAACCACCAACCATCACCATAGGAGACCTATCATAAAAGAATAGTAATTGCTAATGATTATAACGAAAGAACAGATCCGTTTTAGAGGTCATTATAACAGTGAGTTAAAGTCGTTTTATGCTAATAGATTTGTGAGGGAGGAGATTGGAATGAATGGATGAGAAAAGAGCTCGTAAAGAAAAGGAAAAAGTCTTGAACAAATATAGAGCATGATTTAAATGCTATTTGTAAACCCGAGAAGGATCTTGAAAGGCTGATCCTGTGCTCTGAGGCACACTTCCATTTTCCATAATCCTAAATGAGAATTCACCCTATGTTTAAGAACATGCCAACAGCCTTCCCCCGGAATCCTCCATGGCGAATCTAAATCCTCCCTGATTCAGGCACTATCCTCTTGTTCTGACATGACTGGCAACGGAGACATCTGGCTTAACTTCTTAATAATTTCCCATCATATACTCAGAGGCTTCTGATGTTTGTGATCACCTGCATTCTCTCTCCCATCTGTAATAAACCCAGTTCCTTTCACCTCTTCCCTTAGGCTTCATGCTTGTTAGCTCTGTGGCCCTCGTGTTTCTGTTCTGTGGGATCTTTGCATCCCTACCTGGTGGATGAGACAAAAGCACTGGGTAGGACATCTAATCCATAATCAGAAAACTAGGAAGTGGAGAAGTTCATTTCTAGAGCCTTCCAATTACCCCCTTTCTACTTGCTTGTCCGGGTCTACATTAGTTATCTTCTCCCCAGTTGCCCAGAACCCACCCTCTCCCAGTAGACGCACCTCTCCCACCCTGTTGCTGCAGACTGCTGCATCCCTCATGCTCCAGAACTATTCTTTCTTTCCTCCTCCCTCCGCACTCTCCTTTCTTCTCAAGGCTGAGCCCTCTGATACTCACAAAGATCATCCATCTGATGAGCTAATTCACCATAAGGTGTTAAAGAGAACTTCAGTGATGCGTTAACCTTCCCAGGGGCATACAGATTAGAAAAGCAGGTGCTTTCATCTGCAAGGAGGGAATCAAAACCTCACAGCACTGGAGCAGTTTGCCGAGGAAGAAGTTTTGAGCACACACATTGTCCTAGAGGAAATGTCCAAAAGCTCCCAAGCTAAGTTGATTACTCTGTCCTTTGTGCCACCTGCCACCCACGAGTACCTTCAGCCCAGTACTTCTCTCTCATGAAAGTTTATCACATAATACGGCAGAGTGCCAAGAGCCCAAATGCTGGAGCCAAACCGCCCAGGCTGGCATCCTCATTTTCAGTTTTCCTAGCTGTGCAACCTGGGGCAACTTAATTAACTTCTCTGTGCCTCATTTTCCTTAACTATAAAATAAGGATGACATTATCTAACTCAAGGTTGTTGTGAGGGTTGAAGGACAATATATTTAGCATGCACAAGCTTCACCCTGGCACATAAGCAAGAACTATGACAGCATTCTATAGTGTCACATCTTTCTCCTCTGCTACACTGTTTTCTTTGTTTTCATATCCTAGGGCTCAAAAAAAGAGATGCTCAAATAAGTGCGCTTTGACAGCAAATGAATGAGTTATGGAGAATTTAAGTTTAAAAGAGGGGTAGGATTTACAACCAGAAAAATAATTTTCTAGAAAATGTCAAAAAGAAAAAAAAAAAGAAAAGAAAGAAAGAACAGAAGGCGCCCCAGAGAAGGGAAGCCCAGTCTGCAAGCTGCCCTAGATGGAACCAGAAGCCATTTAACTTCCCTAAGTGGGTGGGGTGTGAAGACCCAGCTTGAAGCCTCCAGGATTGTTTGTAAATAATTAAGGTTTGTTAAGAAGATAATAAACTGTCTCTTGAGCACTAACCAGAAAGCAATACCTCCAAGGAGGCTAATGAATTGCTTGATGGAACTGGCTACTTGAGGCGTACACAGCACATTATGGGAACCCTTGGGAAACTGGCAGTAATGCCTCCACTTAGGAAAATCCATTTGCTCAGAGAAACCACATGCTTAGTTAGGAAGGAGGTGCTGGAGTCCAGACAGGGTCCATCCTGCTCCAGGACTAGATACCGGCTCTGACCTTGAGAAAGCGTTGATCTCTAGGGAGAGGGGTTCACGTGTTCACCGGCACGTTGATGTCCTGCCTCCCCAGGTAGGGATGACCCCTGTCGGCTCTCAGAGCGGCGGGGGGTTGGGGGGAGGTGAATAGATGGGAAGGAGGGTTTGAACTCAATGGATGTTTGTTGGACTCTTTGTTCAACATGGGTCTTTAGGAATCTAAATTCCAGTCAATTTATGAATCTCTCCTAGGGCCCTAGTTCAGTGCAAGGCACTGGGAAAATGATCAGAGGCATGTTCATGCCCCACCTCCTCTGGGAACCCACCAGGACCATCGCAGCCCTTACTGGCTTTTCTGAACCGCTTCAGGGAGCTTGTAGCCCATGCACACGTGATTCTCATGTTGCGGAGTCTACGTGTGGGGGCCTCCTCCCCTCACCAGATGCCATGCTCCTTCTGGCAAGGTCTGTGTCTCTTGTACCCATTGCTTGCCAGTTCCCACCCCAACGTATCTACACAGAGCTGGCTGCTAATAAGACCTTGTTGACTGAGTGGTTTGCGACACAGTCCCTGCCCAGGAAGTAGTTAGAAGTCATTGTCAGCCAACATCCTAATTAAATGCTAAGTGCAAATATTAAGAGAGTGAAGTGAGGGAGAAAGAGAGGAGAGAGGGGAGGGGCTGTGTTAGGTCCTGAAAGAAGGATTTTAATGGACAGGCTTATTAAGGAGGTGGGACTTCAAACAGCTCCCAAGGGATTCAATTCACTACGTTGAACTTGTGCATATAAGGGAATAAGTCAGGATGCAAAACTGTACATGCAGCAGTCCCCCACTCCCACATTGTCACAGAGAGAAAGCAAATTCTAGAAGAAAATGTATGAAAATACAGAAATAGTTATCTTTGGATTCTAGGGTGATGGGGCAATTTGGGGTTTCTTCTTTGTGTATCTTTTTTTCCCAAATGTTCTGCAACAGACATGTGGTACTCTTGTAACCATAAAGCCGGGGTATGGTTTTATAAGTCGCACAGGAAGTGAGGAAGTAGACAGGTGAGGGCAGCCTATTCTGTCAAGGAGCTCACCTAATACAGGGAGGTGGGAAAGCTGGAACCAGAGGGCCAGGAAAGATCTTGAGAAGGTTTCTTTAGTTCCCTCTGAGCTAGAAGCTAGAGACTTCAGCAGGCTCGTGGGTTATGGGATGGAGCTCATAGAAAGGAAGAGGTTGTAAATAGAGGAGAAGCCAGATGGCGCAAGACCCCAGCCTGGGCGGGGAAAGGAGGAGTCAGGGCATGGGTAGAGGACTAGCCTTGCCCGCAGCAAGCATCGCCATGTGTGCAGACAGAGATAAGTCGGTGGGCAGGTGTGGGCAGTGAGCTCTGACTGGGGACCCTGCCCTCAGCGTTATATGCTTCTCTCCCAGTGAGCTTTGTGACAGTCCCAAGTGGGAGTGTCTGTCTGTCACTGTGTTCTGCCCAGGCCAGGTGTTTACAGCATCCCTGACTCACCAGGGCAGGAAACAAGGAAACAGCCCAAAGGTCACTGGGTGGCAGGGGAGGGAGGTAACTCAGGAAGGAGGCGGGTTCCAAGTGTGACAGTTGGTGCCCCGGGCCGAGAGGGCTGCTCCAAGGACAGGGTGATATGGAAACAGAGACAAGCTCAGCAGTCAGGGAGGTCAAAGGGAGGAAACCCGAGTGCTGCCGACCTGCAGTGATTTATGTACAACTAAACATTACCTCCAAGTCAAATATGTCCTCGCCTGGCTGTCTCGGTCCTGAAAGTCTCCCTGTTGAATGGAGGCACTGAAACCCCTGCTAAAATGTAAGTGCTGTCTGGGAGGGAGGGAAAAACAGAGTGACTCTCTTCCTTTAACCTGTAGGGCAAATTCATTTCCTTAATTAGTCCTTCTCATCCATTTATTCCTAGAAAGGGACTCAGGAGAGGTAACTTTGATAGAAGCAAATGAGGTTAAGAAATTGAGGCTTGGAGAGAGGCAGGACCTCTGTCAGAAGGAAGGGAAGAAAGACGGGATAGGTGACGCCGAGAGCAAACCCTCGCTGCCTGGTTAAGTTCCAAAGGGCACGTGCTCATTCATTAACACTCAGCCAGCACATAGCTGCCGGACGCCCATGTTCCGGGCAGGACTGGCCTCGGGGGATAAACGGCAAGCAGAGACGGACACAGTTCCCGCTCTCAGGGTGTTCGATCCCCTGAGTGAGTCAAACAGTTATAAATAAATCATCAGAGAGGTA